ATGGATGGATGGATGGATGGATGGATGGATGGATGGATGGATGGATGGATGGATGGATGGATGGATGGATGAACGGTTGGATGGATGGACGGATGGATGGATGAATGGTTGGATGGATGGATGGATGGATGGATGGATGGATGGATGGATGGATGGATGGATGGATAAGTTTTTGTCTCTGAGATCGGGACCCCTCCTAGATTCGCCCACTTCAGCCATCGCCGTCGTACAGTACGTTTCTGGAGATCAGCAGCTCGGTTTTCTTACCCTCTAATCTGAGTCGAGACACCACCTGCCGTTTCTCTTCACCTTCAGGCTTCTGCTGTGTTTACCGTAGCCTCGGGGAGAGAAACGTTGGCTTGAGACCGGAAAATGAAAAACACTTTCCTCTTCATTTATAACTACCTCTGAGTTACCCTTGAGCAAAAGCCCTTAGCCCTCAAAACGTATAGAACTTAATTAAAACGAGCACTGGCGTTGCTCTTTCAGCATTCTGACGAGGTTAAGGGATCGAATTAATACAGTTTTACCAAGCGTACTATTTTAGTGCAGTTTCTACAGAAACAAGGAAGGATCTACATTAGCAAGCCTCCACAGTTGTTGTTTTTTTTCTGCTACTGTATGGCATGAGTACAATCTGTTCAAGTGTTTCCTCTCCATCTTCGCCATTTCTTCATGGAGTGTATTCCATTATGTGTTTGTCAAATACGATTTTGGTTTGACATTACATTTCCAGAGAGTGTTCCCTGCAGTATTTGTGCATCCAGCACACAGACAGGTGGTTGACTAACACCGGCTGACAGCAGGCTGTAAATGCAGCGGAATGTTCTCGCAAAAAGGTTCAGCTAAAGGTTAAAATCACTGCAGTTGCGGACAATTAATAAACGTCTTCGCTCGGGCCTTTATCCGTTATACATCTGTCTATTTATCTCTCTGACCTCTTCTTCTTTTCCCCCTGCATCCCTCCCCCTTGCTCCGTCTTCCTCTTTGTCTTCCCCAGGCTGGATGATTGATGCCGACAGCAGGCCAAAGTTCAAGGAGCTGGCTGCTGAGTTCTGCAGAATGGCCCGCGACCCCCAGCGATACCTGGTCATTCAGGTGGGTTCGCCTCGGCGGGTTCGCAGTCGGAGCGCTTGATAATAAAGGGGCTTTTTTCCGCGCAACTGTTTGCACGCCGGGCAATTAAACGGATCTGAGGCGATTTTCTGATGCGCGTGTCGTGACTCGGGCACATTCAAGCATCCGTAGCGCCAGTTCAGTTGAATTAGCAGATGTAAATTAAATCATCTCAGACCACAACTTAAACTTAAAAAAGGAATCTTGCTTCAACTATTACCCCACCCTGGCATTGTGGAATGCTTTAAATGAGTACAACGAGTTGTTATTTTCACATTAACTGTCTCGTCTTCGTTGCGCTGCTCCATTCTGTGGATGTCTGTTTCCCCGGTAGATTGCGCTGGAGCAAACCTGTGGATGCACCAGGTCCATGTATAGATAAACACACAAAGCACTAGTGGCCTCAAAACTGCAGTAAATACTCCCACACTCAGCTGAAATTGATTGTTAAAATAAAACAAATTCTTTTATACTTGTAAATTCTTTGGGTTTTGGGGGCCCTAGCTAAACGCTGGAAGGACCAGCAGTTTCAATGGGAGAGACTCACCTGAGCTAATGTCCGCTAACATGCAAACACAACTGGAACCCAAATGTAAAACACAAAAACTCTCCATTACGCCACTATATCCTTACATAGCAGCATGCAGCAGTTGTTTGCTGCAACATTAAAGCTATATTTACATTCAAAATCTTGCGTATTGCACCTTTAAACATGTTACCTGTATGACACAGGGAGATGACCGTATGAAGCTTCCCAGCCCCAATGACAGCAAGTTCTTCCAGAGCCTGCTGGACGAAGAGGACCTCGACGACTTGATGGATGCCGAGGAGTATCTGGTGCCTCGAGGCTTCAACATGGCCACCCAGTCGTGCACCGCCAGGCCTCGGGTCGACTCCAACAGAGTAAGAACGCTGGCATGATTTTGTAAAACACGGCATATCACAAGCTTCAAAATGGCAAATTCTGAAGAATCTAACATCACCTGGCATCAAGTATTTATGATAATAACGCCTCCTCCGGAGCTCGGCTGACTTTAAAATTCTCTCCTTTCTAGTCATAAACTGCTCAACTCACTGTCCTCTATAAGTGCTCAAGGTGCTTAAGAACTTTCAATACACTGATGATTTTCCTCTGCTAATGGCCCACCTCCATCATTTCCATCCCAGCGTGTGTGGCTTAAACCTGCGCTCTTTATGCGCTAGCTCCCCAGGCCCCAGGTTTCATTACTCAGAGCTCCATAAGCAAATAGCAGACGCTCTCTTAAAATGCCGGAGCCGTTTACTAATAGACAATGAGTTCAGGCTCGGCTGTTTGCTCTGCAGCATTCACCACGTGCCGCCGGCTCACCGCTCGGCATCTTATGCACCTTTACCCCCTCGACCTATCCATTTGCCGGCGGCTCTTTTCCCCCCCGACGACCATACCCCCGAAAAACACACACCACCACGATCCATCAAGGTTCGTTTAAGGTCAACAACCCTATCACCGATTGAAACTGTTATGCAGAAGAAGCCAGCCCAGAGAAGGGAAGGAATTCATTGAAAAATCCTTCAGCTGGCCGACTTTGCCAAAGGAAGTTAGTTATTCAGGTTGCAACGCCGCAAACACTGTCCGATACAGATGGTTATCTTATCTGTGCTGAATTGCTCTCACGCTCACACTTGAAAAGAAGAGCAGATAATGACTTGCTTTGAAGAAAGGATGAAGAGAGAAGTTTGGAGGAGGGGGAAGTTGATTGCAACGGAGGGAAGACTGTGGGAGTAGGTGGACAGATATAACCCCGGGACATTTCCTTTTTTTTTTTTTTTCTTTTCTCTGTTGTGTTTTGTAGCGCTGCTTCCTTTAATTGCTGCTGTAGCGCTAGCAGCTGGCAAGAGTGCAGAGGAGTTGGCCTGGATTAAATAGCCCACGGCAAGCCAACACAGCACCACAGGAAGCCCTTTGCTTCACATGTCATGTTTTGTATTTTCTTGTGGGGTTTTTTGTTCTTTTTTGAGGTTCAGGTGTCTGAATCGCAGCTTTGCCTGGCTGCCCCTTACAGTCCCTTAAGGCTGATGACTACTCTAACAGAACTTTGTCTGAGAATTTTACTTCAACAGGCCGCAACACGGGTTAAAAGTCTTACTTTCTTTGCCGCAGGTGCCATAAAACTGGCATAAACTGACTGAAACTTTTTTTTTTTTCATGCTATTCTGTTTGTTGTGCGTTGATTGTATTTAATTCTGCTTCTGAATAGCGAGAAAGAAAGCATGCATCAAAGTGTCCAGAGTGGTTCAGACCAAAGACAATCGTGCCTGCTATTATTTTATTAACATCAAACTGCATTTTTCCTCATCTATTCACAACCCACCCTCCACAGAACCAGTTTGGCTATCGAGATGGTGGTCCAAACCTTGCAGAAGGATCCTTGGCGGGCGCCCAAGCCTGCATGAACCAGGAAGCCACAGGCGGCCCGGGTCCGGCCCTGGAGGACCAGCGCTGCAACGGAAGCCTTCACAAGAAGAGCCTGAGCCAAGCTGGAGGGGAAGACAGCGGGGGCCAGAGGTACAGCGCTGACCCCACCATCTTCCTGGGGGAGCGGGCGTCCAGAGGGGACACCGACGAGGACGGATACATGACACCCATGAAGGACAAGAGCTCCTCAGGTACTCTAAGTGAAGCATTGCGGAAGTGGAGTTTGTAGGGAGTTGCTTTGCAGAAGCTAAAAATAAAGTCCAGGTTGAAATTCTGCAGCCCTGCGGGGCATTTTGACGTGACGACGCATAAATGCATTTTTAAGAGCTGTATTTAGTCCACAGCGCGGTGTGGATAATATTAAATTTTAAAATAACCATACCTCATTATATTAATTTCTCACTAATCTTCAAAACACAAGTAGCACGGCGCCACGGAAATTAAAGTCATACGTTAGCTTCCCCAAAATCATCCGTGCAGCTCCTGCATGCGCTCCGGATCCTTGCCTCGAACACCTTTTCTTCCACTCTGTCATCTCTTCGCTCATTCGCGGGTAAATGCGATCGTTTGTAGTGTACTCCGCCTGTCATTTTGCCTGTTCATTTCATTTCATTCCATTGATTAAAATTCCCACTGAGTTGCCATCAGCGGCAGCAGTGTATGTCAGCTACTACTACAGAGTCATGTTTTACCTTTGATCATAATTCAGTCCATCAGCCCTGCTCTTGCGCTACCGTCTTTGATTTTTTGAGCAGCTCAAAATATAACAAAGCCTGCAGCAAAATGCATCTGATGCAATCTCAAGGAGCAGAAGAGTGGGCAAAATCAATAGGTTTCGCACCCCACTATTATAGCGCTTGGAAGCAGTGAAGAGGGGTCATTTGTTGGCATTTTCACCCCCGGCAGATGGAGTTTCCAGTGCCAAAGAACTGCTGGCAAGTTGCCCATCTGGTCCTGAGTGGCTGCCATTATCGCCATTATCATCTCCATCTCCATCTTCGCTCCTCATTAGGGAGTGATCTCTTTCTCTGACTCTTTCAATTTCCATTTCTTTTGTTTTCTCTTCTCTTGTCTTGATTTCTGTGGATTTTTTTTTGTTTTTTCTGTCTTATTCTCTCATAAACTGCTTTTTTCTCTTTTTCCTTCACCTTCCTACCCTCCCGTCCCTTTTTTTCCTGATCTGTGCTACAGAATATCTGAATCCCATCGAGGAGAACCCGTTTGTCTCACGACGCAAGAATGGTGAGATCCACGCCTTGGACAACCCAGGCTACCACAGCACACCCAACAGTCAGCCCAAAGGAGAGGACGAGTACATCAACGAGCCCCTCTACCTCAACACCTTCCACAGCCCTGCCGAGCTGGGCCTGGAAGCCCTGAGGAGAAATGGTCTGCCCTTACCCACCCAGGTTCCTTCTTCCATCTCCGCCACAACCTCAGGCTCCCACCTCCCGCTTACCATCCAGACCAGCCTGCCCCACTACCCCCTACCCACAGCCCAGCCATCTCCATCTGGCATGCCCTGCCACCACGGACCACCGACCCACATCCTCCACGCCCACCACACCATCAAACCTGCAGGACAACCTGGAAATCCAGGTGGCGGCTCCATCTCTCAGAGCCAAACAGGAACTACTGCTCAAGTCCAGGTGAGCCAGTCAGGTGCCCTGTCTACTTTGGCTGCCATCGGGCACGGCAGCCTGCCAGCCTACCAGAGCCACGCCACCACGCATCCCGCAAGTATGCTGAAGCACGGAGGGTTGACATCAGGTAAAGCCACTGGGAAGAAGCTGAAGGTGACCTTTGACAATCCAGAATACTGGCAGCACAGCTTGCCTCCCAAATCATCGAATCAGGGGGCCCCCGATGGCGCCCAAGGAGGTTCCACCAACCCCAAGCTCTTCTATAAGCAGAACGGACACATACGGCCGGCAGTAGCTGAAAACCCTGAATACATGTCTGAATTTTCCCTGAAATCCGGCACCGTCTTGCCGCCTCCCCCTTACCGGCAGCGAAACACTGTGGTCTAGAACGTTCCACTCGAGAAATGTTCCACCAATCCTACTCGAGCCTCCAACCAGCCCCACATCCTCTCTGGTTCCACCGTCCCACGCCGAGGGAAGCGGCCACAACCGAAGCCGCCTCCAGCTCTTTTTCAAACAACGTGCCATCTGCTGTAGACGTGTAGCAACATCCAAAGGAGGTGGACCGAACCAAGCAGAACCTACTCAGACTCCCGCACCTTCACTATATCCAGTCCAGTCCATTTCTGTTCTGTAGATAGAGACTGTGCTCCAAGGCGTTGATCACGTGGAGGTTATGGTAGATATTGGCAAATAACGGACAAGAGCAGTGGACGCACTGTATCGCGTTAACCAAGGCACACACGCAACTCTCGAAACACAATGGATTCAACTTCGGGGACCTGAACTCACTGCCAGCCACTTCGGTGTGAGATGTGTGAGAGGAACAAGATGTTCTTTTAATTATTTTTTGTTTTCCAGGACAGAGGTCTGAACAATATTCTGCTAAGGGTTTCAGGAATAAGCAAACAGACAGACAGAACAAACACAGTCTGTTAGATGTCAAGATGTCTGGTTTTGTGAATGACCCGAGAGTGAGGCGAAAAAAAAGCAAAACACGGAGGGAAAAAGACTGAGTTGAGTCAGCGAGGTGAGCAACTTAAAAGACGGAGCACTCATCAATCATATTCAGTGTTTTTGCCTATAGGATTATACCGTGTGTTCTCGACTTTTCCATCCAATATGTGAAACTCATCTCATCCTTATACTGTAACTGTGATACTGTGATGGCCAAAACTACGGTGATCTCTCGTTTCACGTTTGTAGTTCGACCATGGACTTTTTAACTTGCCTGAAAAATATGCAGGGCAACTGCTGTTTTATTGTTTTCGCTCGACTGCTGTCTGCTTGGAGAAGCTGATCAAAAGCAGCCTGTCCAAGCCAAAGGGTATAAGGGAAAAACACTGTAAACATTTTTATGAGCGCTGGTTGCAGTGAAAAGATAGATTTTTTATACACTGGTTTTCCCATTCAGATCATGAAGCTAACTCAAATGGGTAAAGAATGACTTGCAATGAGAGCGAGAATGTAGTTGTGGAATTTGCTGAATGCTGCTATAAAAAAAAAAGAAGTGCGATAAGATCATCCATGAAGCAGCTCAAAATGGTGATTACAGAGACGGAGAGGGGGTAAAGAAAAAAAAATATCGAGAGAGAGCGGAGCAAAAGTTCATACAAGCCGACTAATGAAGACCTCAAGGAATGAACAAGACAGCACCAGCAGAGCACAGTAAAACAGACTACTTTTTATGTGTGTCTGTCAGTGTGATTGGGATCAGTGTGTGTGTGTGTGTGTGTGTGTGTGTGTGTGTTCACATTTTAGCCAGCCAGCTTGACCCCGGAGGGATGTCTTCACATCAGTGTTAATGGAGTCGACCCTTCAGCAGCACCTCCGCTAACCAACCCTTCATTCAAATGAGGCTTTGACCATGTGATTGCACTGACACCCCCTTTCTTGCCCAGGCGGTTTTATGGCTGGTTTGGAGCTGGCACCAGTGTGGCGCTGGTACTTTGCTGGTCGAAAACCAACAATGACCAACTTTAGGGGCTGGGGTTATCGTACCGACAAGACCGACCGCCATATTGGGAAAAAAATTCCAGAAGTTGTCTGTAGGTAGGGCTGCAATGAACAATTATTTTCATTGTTGGTTAATGTGTCGATTGATCGATTAGTTGTTTGCTGAATAAAATATGAGGAACATTGGGTAAAAATGTCAATCAGTGTCGAGACTTTGTCCTCAAATGTCTTGTTTTGTCCAAGAACTTTCCATTTACTGTCATAAAGCAGTAAAGAAACCAGGAAATGTACAAGAAGCTGCAATCCTACAATTTAGATTTTCATTGAATGAATAGTCGACAACTAATCGATCAACCATTGCAGCTCTATCCATGATGAAGGATTCGTCCAAGGTTTGCAAGTTGAACCAGCCCGGTAGTAGCACCTGCCCAATGTTGGTGGAAAAGGGATATGAGTGGCCCAACTGCACCAAATGGCACCAAATCTCTGGACATTTTTCACCAGGATTCGCAGCTTTGTTGTCTCCACTTGGTTTGGTTAAAGTCAGAAAGTTTTATACAGAATCTCACAAAATGGTTGTTTTTTTAAAACCTTCGGACAAATGAATACACTTCCTCTCTGTCACCTCGTTAGTTTATACATACCATGACCATTTTAATAGCTTGTACCTCTTAACAACTATTTACAGGGGATTGATGTGGTTGTTTTCTTCCTAGACTTTTTTATTTCCCCCCCCCAGCCTCATCGCGTTCTTGCAGCCATTCCGATGCAATTTGTTCTCAATTCATCAGTGGCAACTTCTAAATCATTCGCCAGTTGTTAGTCTGACAACCCAACAGTGATGATTTATTTGGCAAATAGCTACCATTAGACAAATAATTACCCACTCGGATCAACAGTTTTCTCTCTTTACTTTCAGTAGCTTTAGTTAGTAGCAACAGTGATGCCAGTTTTGTTCCAAATTTGAAGGATTTTGTTATCCGGAAGTTAGACTTTGATAAACTACTAACCCAACAACCTTGTCTATATTTTCTGGCAACATAATGAGGAAATGTCAACTGAAGACTTGCCACGGTAGTTGCAGCATTGTAGGCATTGGTAGAACATGGTTACGGTTAGGGAGGAATCGAGGTTTAATACAAAAAAGAGACTTGAAGCACGAGACAGAAGCCAATTTCATTCACCAACCCCCAACTAAAGTCCTTTTGTTGACTTATCTGAAACATATTCAGGATGCAAGGCACTTTGAATGCACCACCTATGAACAACATCCAGACAGCAATTCTGGTTTTGAAAATAATGCTTTGCATATATATTTTTTGTTGTTGAGTCACCTGACGCCCAACTACTAATACAGACAAACATGCCAATTTACAGCACAGAGCAAACTGCAAAGCCTCTGTATTGTTTTTTTTTAAGTGCAGCTGTAACATGTTCATTTGCATTTTCATCAATGTGGAATTATGGATTAGCCCACATGGAGTCGACAAACTATTCATCATAACTGGAACTTGAAATTATTTGACCTCCAGCCATTCAATTCTGTATTTGCTTCTTCTTTTTTTTGACCTGGACATCAGAGAGGTGGAGGACCATGTTGGTGCCAGATGGTGTTGCTGTCAGATCTGCTGACCCTATATAAGCGTCTCAAGGGAAAGAATGCAGTCGGGGTGGTTTTTCTACAGCCGTCGAAAGCACAAGTTCAAACCATGAGGACAGGGTTTGCAAAAAATAGTGCAAATTCTTGTGAATGATGAGTCTGAATGGGCATAGGCTAGGGGAGGTGGACCACTCACGTTCTTTTGCTCAGATAGTGATGTCGACAAATCAAACAGTCGACTCTGTAGCATCACTGGCTTTGCAAGTTTCAGGACAATTTAGAACAGTAGACGACCATCTGGTGATATTAGCACGATTAAGTACCACAAAAGAAACTGTCTAATGTGTTATTAGATCAATAAGAGCGTTGGTGGGCTGGATTTTGAAAAAACAACCAACATCATAGAAACTGCAAACAGTTGATGCGACATGGAGAGCAGATAGTGTTCCTGCTTGTAGTTAAATCATCTGAACTTTATCGGATAGCGGAGCTTAATTCTGACAATTTTGATGCATTTCCAAGCAAGGCTAATGAAAGATAAACCTACTCACCGAACAAAAACTGTATTTCTATCCTAGTTGCTGTGTAGGCGTCCATTTTTAAGGAGACTTTGGACGTTTTCCAAGTAGCAAATTCAACTTCTGGCATGTTCTTTGATTGTTCCTAATTGGAGATTGTCCATTTGAAGTTCCCCAGTTGCCATCGAATGCAGCATAAGCCTCTAATCCATAAAAACATCACCTCCCTTCTGTGGTTTTTTTAAATGTTTGAGGTCCCCAATGGAGCGTCCAATGCCCCTTAAGTTTGAAGACAGTAGTCGTAGCCCTCACTACTACTGATGCCTCTGCGGGCAAACTGGTGTTACAGCCATTATTTCTTCCACCAAGCCATACAGAACACCTGTGGTTGGGAAAAGTCGCGCGACGTCGGCTCGTTTCTCTCGCAATATCTCACATCTTCAACGAATCCGAAAGTCTCGCAGGTCCTGACACGAGAGTGACATTTTTGATTTCAGCAGCTTCTATCATTCAGCCGTCCGAGTTGTTTTCCTCGTTTATTTATTTCTTGCGTATTTAAATGTGTGCAAAAGTCTGAGTCTATGCACATGTTAGAGCTGTGTTTGTCCTCCCCACGGAGCACTTTGATCAAAGTCGCGGGTAGAGAGAAAGGATTTCCAGCCTTCGTTTGCTGAAAAATCCGACTTGTTTATCCGGTCGCGTACCGCTTCAGACGGGCCGAAAGAAGGTGCCAAGAGTTCACGACGAAAACACGTTTTGGACGGCGCTGACCAGCTTCCAGAACGTCCTTGTTTCCGTGTTTTTTTGTTTGCTCGGAGCAGTATTTCTGCCGCTACTTTGATGATATCATGATTAATTGATGAAGGAGTATTTTGTAGTCCCTTTTAGAACCTCTAATTCAATGAAATGGAGACAGCATTTAATATCAATGTGAAATATTTATCGCGCGTTTGAGCTTGTTTATACTGAGCGATGGAAGCGACTGCCAAATCTGGGTTTCGAGAAGAAGAAGAAGAAATGGTGGGGAAAGAGGAAAACACATGCCTTGGTTTCTGTCTCATTCGCCCTAAATTATACTGCAGAGCCAGGCAAAATATGTGTTTGAATCAAGAATAGATTAAACCGAAACACTGATGAGACGAACGGCCTCAAATGTTGTTTTTTTTCCGAGAGCACTTCGGGGTAAGAAGCTTCCCACTTCTACCCACTTTTCATCCGAAAGGCAAGAAGAACACACCTGTACCTTAAGATCCTCTCGTTTCTTGTTTCAAACATATTTTTTTTTTAGGGGGTGGGCTGTGTTACCTGCTGCTATTTGTCTCAGCCCCTAAACACCCTCGCCGGTGTTTAAGGCTCGATCTTTTTTTACTGTTTCCTCCAAAGCCAAGGTGCAAACGGCATGTAGCCATGTGCTGAATCCTTCAAAAATGTCATCCTCAGCAGTTACCCAGCGTACAGGCTGCAACACACACACACCGCTGTATAGTAAATATTACATTGCATGGTACCCAAAGTGAGTGTTTTACTGCCCTCCACCTTTGTATCTCTTCGACGATATACTCCCTCCAGATATTTTTTACCGAGTTCAGTAGCACAAACTGGGAATCCTTAATTCATGGGATTTTTTTTTTTTTTTCTTTCTTTGCGTGTATGTGTGTGTGTGTGTGTGTGTCGTACTCCTATATAGTCTTTTTAATATTGATTTGTGTCCATATTATCGAGGATCTTTCCACCTCTGTGTCGGCTTACTGTACATTATTTGACATGTTTTAATTGCACAAACCATCGTTTTTTTGTTGTTGTTTAAGTTATCAGATCAGTATAACTGTACAGAATCTTTGGGGTTTCCTCCGAAAAATTTATCTAACACACTTCAAACAACAAATGTGAATAGTATTTTTATAAAGCGCTGAAAACGGGGGGGCCGACGCGGGGAAACCTGTAAATAGGGAGGCGATGCTTTGAATTTATATCGGTCTTCTCTCCTACTGCTGTTTTTCTCCTGCTTATAACGACTTGTACAAAAAAAAACAAGAAAAAAAAAAAAAAGAGCCGTACATATTTGCTTTATGTAAGTGTACCTTTTGACTAATGGGGATTTGATTTTAAAAAAGTGCTTGTTGACCCTTTTTTTCTCTCTGTTCAGTGGCGCACCCCTTGTTTTTTTATTTTTTTTTTCATCCTCTTCGAGACCTTCGTGGCTGTCCTCATTAGGTAAACACTGTATATGGGGGTCTCTGTGGTCTCCCCACCATGCCTGCTGTATTTCATCCCCCCCAACTCAGTAACAAAAAAAAGTTCCCTCACTGCTCTGCCAACTAACCTAGATAAACTCTGGAGTCGGTGTTTAACTTTCTACCGGAAATATCACTGAGCCAAGTCTAACCTCCTCTTCTTCTTTCCTGAACGGCAGCCCTCACGATACAGTTTTTTTTCCTCCCCCATTTGTTTCGCATGCTTTTAGAGGAGACACCGCGGATCGTCACCTACCCCAACCTCCCCACGTCCAACTCGGTCATTGCTGACTATCTCTCTGAGTACTTTGAAACCATTACCCAAAGCTTTATATCATAGAAATACCGTTCCTCATGTTTGTTACATGAATCTGTCAAAAGTATATTTTTAATTTAATATAAATAAAGATTGATTCAGTATACACTGTGGCTGCTTTGTGGTGATTTCTGTATCCAGCTGATGTGTATATATATGCGGGGGAAACATCAGGGTTTTCTACGTTGCTGCAGGAACATCTTTCCCAACCACAGCGGGGAAGCTCGAGTCCTCGGATCCAGGGTTCCTCCGCCGAAACACGCCACCCCGCCGCCCGTAACTAGAGCAGAAAATGAACGCCCCACTCGGATGCCCCGACGCTACCAGCTTTAATAATAAAACTTAACAGATGGTGTCTTTAATTAAGACGAGGGGAAGAAGAAAAAAAAAACTTTCACTTCGACCCCGGTCTTCTCCAGATCAACATTGCAGTGGATTCTGCACTGCGCCACGCTTTCATGCTCAAAAGGACTTGCAGATGAAGACCAGCTGCATCAAAAAGGGTCCGCAGCGTTTCCATCCCGGCTTCCTC